GTGCCGAAGGAAATCGTGTGTGATAGTGGTCCACAATTCATAGGAGCTCAAATCACAGAAGTTTTTTCAAAGTTGGCAAATTAAAAGGATAACATCTACGCCATACCATCCAGTGGGTAATGGACAAGCGGAATCCACAAACAAGGTCATTATCAACAACTTGAAGAAAAGGTTACAAGATTCAAAAGGTAATTGGCCTGAGGTATTACCTGGAGTATTATGGGCTTATCGTACAACGACAAAAACAAGCACGGGAGAAACACCATTTTCAATGGTTTATGGTGCGGAGGCCTTATTCCTGGTTGAAATAGGTGAACCGAGCACACGATATGCGCAAGCAACGGAAGAATCAAATGATGAAGAAATGCGGGTGAACCTTGATTTGCTCGAAGGAAGAAGAGAAGCTGCATTAATAAGGATGGCAGCACAAAAGCAAGTAGTTGAACGGTATTACAACAGGAAAGCACGCCTCAGATTTTTTAAAATTGGGGACTTCGTGCTTAAAAAGGTGTTCCAATCTACAAAGGTTGCTAATTCAGGAAAGCTAAGTCCCACATGGGAAGGACCCTTCAAAGTTCGTGATATTGCAGGAAAAGGAACATATGAGTTGGAGACAATGGACGGAAAAATTCTACCCTCACATTGGAAAGCTGTCCACCTAAAGAGATAATACTTTTGAGAAAGTACCCACGGTCAGGTATCGCTATGTTAAAATTTTTTCTTTGAATTGTTAAAATTTTACTAACGATTTTAGATGCTAGGCAAAAACCCTTACCCGTGCCAAATGATGAGTCACGACCTGCACGGCAAAATGGAATATTCTAAAATTCCCAGCCCAGGGTTACAATTATCCTGATGGAAATACACACGGGTTAGGCAGTCTTCATCTCTAATCGTATCTCCGAGTCCCGTATGTTTTTCTGTTTCAGGAAAAGGACCAAATTGAGAGAAACAAACAAGTGCTCGAGGCTTCATACTTCACCGCTCAAACACTTGGGGGACTGCATATTGTACCTTTCCCATCAAAACAAATGAAGATACAAAACATTCATCATAGTATTCTTTCCCATGAGAACAACAGAGTCACCTCTCAAACTCATGAGAACAACGGAGTCACCTCTCAAACCCTTCCTAATGCATGAAGATAGGGTCATGACTATGTACTGAAACGGGTTATAAGGAAAAACCTTGTTTGAATTATATTTATTTTGTAAAAATCTGTTACAAGAAAAACAGTTACGAGAAAGTTATAGATGTATTTTAATACATGTAATATTCAAAAGCTTGTCAAAGTTCGTGAATAAAAACTTGTCAAAGTGATTCCAAACAAAACATGTGTGTTCCTATTTCTTTCATCGTATTATAACACCATTATGAAGTTGAGACGTCTTCTTCATTAAGTGTCGATATATATAAAAGGGCCCTCTTTTATAAGCCTCATGTTAATAAGTCATGAGAAGAATCATAAAGCATTTTCAAAGGATAAAAATGCTAAACTATTCTATAAGTCCTAAATAGATAAGAAAAAGGCAAGAATAGAACATATTGAAGTACTAACAAACTTCTTGATATAATTAAAAAGACTAAGTAGAAACTTAGTCAACAAAAAGTTTATACAAGTGCCCCATTATGATAACTGGGGACTTTTTTCAAAAAAATCCCTTAAAAACCGCCAAGGGATAAACCACCAATCAACAAAACAAAAACAAAGTCTGGAAACATAAACTGGTCACTGAGGGGCTGGAATGCCAGAAGTTGTTATATTAGCTTCACTTTCATGAACAGCTATAGGTACGGTGGTAACTTCTGAAGAAGCAGCAACAGGAGCGGTTCCAGCTGGGATTGAAGTGCTAAGTTCATCGAGGGGAGCAAGAGTCACGGAAGTTTCAGCTTCCACAAACTGAGTCATAGAAGTTTCACCCTCGGGAGCTGGAATTGCAGCATTTTCAACTTCAATTGCCGCAGCAACGGCTTCTTCATTTAAAGGTTCTTCAGCCACGGGAGCTTCATTTGCCGGAGAAGGAAAGTCAAGTGGTTGTTGGGTCATCTCAATGGTTTTCAAAACTTTGGCCAATTCCGACTTTAAATCAAAGTTTTCTTGACTGGCCTCAGTTAAAGCATCACGACGAGAGTTTAGAAAAGCCCAACTCACCTCTATGTTAAAATTCTCCTCAAGAAGTTCATACTCTTTTTCCCACATAGCAAGATCATTCTTTAACACTTGATTTTCAGCTAAAGAGGAATCAAGGGAAGCTTCAAGGGAGGCATGAGAACTCTCTAAGGCACGTACCTTATCAGAAGAGATATTTAAATCAGCTTGAACTTGAGTCAAGTTTTGCACTAACTCCCCTGCATACTCTTCTTTCTTGGCCAAAAGTGCCTTAAGTTCTCTGATTTCTTCACTTGACTTTGATAATTGTTCTGAAAATGAACATTCAAGGCGCTCCTTATCCTTCTCAGCTTTACTAGAAGAAGCCTTGGCTCCCGCTAATTCAGAAGTCAGAGTCCGCTTTTGCTGCTCCAGGTTACGGTTGCTTTCTTGCAATTCTTTTATCGTTTCTTGAGCATTTTTAAACTGTTCCTTCCAATTAGTTGCTTCCAGTTGGGCTTCCTTAGCTACCCTCTCAGCCTCGAGAACAGTCTTATCAGACTCACGGGCCTTCTTTTCTAAAAGGGAAATTCTTCCCATCAATTCCGTGCCAATAAGGTTAGCCTACAAAGACAACTCATGAAAATAAGAATCTAGAGATAAAAAAAAACTTATTAGTAAGTAAAGGAAGAATACCTTTAACGTAGAATGAACTATGTCATTCATCAAAGTTAAGCAACTATGACTGTTCATCTTCTTCTTCTCAATGTCTCCAATTAAAGGCTCGAGCCAGACATCTGCTCCACCAGACTTCCTTAAAAGACTGTTATTAGCAGGAACCTCAAGTGTGACACTCCTCATAGCCAAACTTCTGCTACTGGAACCCTCCTCTGCATGCTGAACAGAGGAAGGGGGAGCTATAGAAGGAGGAACGGTAGAAGAGGTGAAAATAACAGGAGTCGAAGGAGTCGAAACAGGTAAGGGAGCAGAAATTGGCAAAGGAGTAGGAACAGATAAAATAGGCAAGGAAGCACTTGAAACCAAAGGAGGAATAGAAGGAATGGGAATGGAGGAGGAAAGAGGAACTTCATCTAAAACCGGACCTAGTTCACCACTTTCGAAACCGTCAACGAAGAGACGTTGAGTGGATTCAATGGTGTCCCTTGGAATGGTTTCATCATCAGAAACAACAGTAACAGGTTCGGTAAGAGAGGAGGCACGGGCAGAAGAAATTTCAGCTTCATCTTCAGAAATGATGCGTCTCCTGGCTCTAGGCCTAGCCATCAAAGAGGTGTCTTCATCTTCATCATCCTCAGAATCCTCTTCAATAATTTTCCTCTTTGACAGCGTAGCTTGTGTTCTCTCCAAAGAAAGGGGAGTACTAGAAGAGGCTCGAAGGGCAATAGCTACTTCATATGTCATTCCTCGAATAGCAAATCCTGAAAAAAAAGAAGGATAAAAAGTTAAAAAAGGGGAAAGAATTTAACATACGAGAAATAATAAGGGATGCATACCGTGAGTTTTCACTTTCCAACCATGTTTGTTGGAAATAGATTTCCAGGTTCGTGCCTCCATAGGCACGACTTTCAAAATAGCATCTACCCAACCACGGAAATTAGGAACGGGCTCCACATCTCCCATGGTTGCTACAAAAAAGCAAAAAAGAATGAAATTAGAAAAGGAGTTGAAATAAAAAAAACAGATACGGTAAGGAAGAAATACTTACGTGCAAGGTTCCATTTCTCAGGAAAAGGAATATTTGATTCACCCACCAAACCAACTGTGGGTACCGCAACGTAACGGGTGTACCAGCCTCGATCTTTATCATCTTCAGGGCTTACCAAAACCCTTTTACTTCATGCAGTTAGGGTAAAAATACCACTGCGGAACAGCTTGGGGTGGTAAAGATGAATTAGATGGGAGAAGGTAAAGTCAACACCAGCCTTAGCCGATACATACCTTAAACAAGCCACTGCTCTCCATACGAGGGGGCCAATTTGAGCCAAACAAATCTTGAAAAAATGACAGAAATCGAGTATGACTGGGTCGATAGCAGGAATAAATCCCAAAGTAAAGGGGTAAGTATAAATAAAGGAAAGACCAATCCTATAAGAAGAAATTCTCTGGTTTGGGTTAGGAATAACTATACGAAGGTCATCTCTCCAACGACAATCCTTTCGAACAGTGGAAATCAAGGGTTCGGTAATTAAAGAAGGATAGGTGTCAGCATCAATTACATGGTCACGAAGGTATTCTTTATCAGGCTCGAAAGATAAATCGGTTGGCACTATTTCTTCAACCAAAGGTTCTTGAATAGGCTCAGAAGATTCTTTGCCTTTAGAAGAGGATCTCTTAGTGAAAGAACCTCTAGAAATAGTGCCAGAAGAAGGAGTGATGGAATCAGAGGTACCACCACGAATGGACCCTAGGCCACGAAGCCTACCTCCTCTACCTCTTCTGTGTCTTACAGGGGCATTGGGGAAACTGTCAAGAATTGGGACTCTCCTAGGGTTAGGATTCGAAGATGACATGGTAAAAAGATGTGAACTGAGGAAGAAGTGAATAGGAGTAAATAGTGAAATACTTGGTAAAAGTTTGTGGAGAAGAAGACAAGGGAAAAAGGGTTAAGTTTATATATAAAAGCAACCGTCAAAGATTAAGGAGTGTAATGATGGAAAGCCTATAATAAAGGCAACTATCACTTCGTGAATAGTGGAGTTGAAGAAGCCTTGAGAAAAAAAAAGAGAAGCTGCAGAATTGCAGAGCTAATAAGAAGGTGACACGTATGCAGTGCATTAAATAGAAAAGACAACTGAAGCGTCAGTACTGTCATATCATTGATTATGGCAAAAATTTCCTTTTTAATGAAGATCCACTTCCCAAATATTTAATTGATAAATAAATGAAAAGTAGGGGGACTATCTGTATTGGGAAAAAACTGAATTTTTATATAAGATGACGTGTCATGACACGTGGACCGGTCAAATAGTCAAAGCGTGGTAATCAGTTAGAAGGCACGAGCAACAATAGATGCGGGAGAGAAGATACTTAAAGGCACGAGCTATTAGTCAAATGAAATGAGACTCGTACCTGTTCGAGTCATTTAAAGCTTGAAGATCGGAAGGAATTGAAGAAATGAATCTGATAGCGTAAAGGAGTCCAAATTCAGCATTAAATGCAAAATACGTTGAGAGAATTTGTATTTAATAGGAATGATTGAGTAAAGTTTCTTTTAATGTCATTTATTGCTCATAATTGCCTCATTAAGACAAAGGCATTACACTTTCTCCTAGAATTAGCTATAAAAGGGGAAGGTCTCAACATCTGTAGGACACGAAATATCATTGAGATTATACTGAAATATATACTTATTCATTGCTTTATTGTTGTTCTCAAAGTCTCTCATTTCTTGATTATCAGTAACCCGATTTCTCTCTTAATTTCTAGCTTTAACCAAATATTCAGTTTTTTGGTTAAACAATAATGGCGTGTGTGTCTCACTATTTTTTACTCATTCAACACCATACAGATCTTGGTCTAGATACCACCAGATGTCTAACCCAAGTTTCTCACTTCAATAACTTTCAAATTCAACTTTTTAGAGAAACTCGCATCTGGTTTACAAAATAAGTCATAACCGAATGGTGGATTTTATTAGTGTGACTAGTTGTAAAGATCGACCTTTACAAGTGAAATATGACCTCTCACTATTCAAGATTCTATAAGGACTCATTTCTTCACGATTCTCAATGTAAGAGGCAATTGCTTACGTGAGAGAGTCAATTTCACGACTAGTTCAACATACTTTATCAACAAAATATCATCACATGCATACTAGTTATGAACATAATTTTAAGAGTCCAATATTGATGAACTTATTATAATCAAGTCATTTTACAACACATGAATATGGTTATATCCTTCGCAAACTTAGAGTCATGACATGTTTCTAAAACAAGTCTCTAGATATCGCCTTTGCAAAAGGATCAACTATCATACTTTGCGTAAGAATGTATTGTAAAACTATTTCTCCACTTGCTATCTTATCTATCACAAAGTTATATTTGATGTCAATGTGTTTGGTATTGATGTGATACTTAGGATCCTTTGTGTATGTAACAGCCGCCTGACTATCACAATATAAAGTCGTAGGACCCTAAGAATGTTTTGTAATATCCAAATGCTCAAAGAACCTTTTTAACCAAATAACTTCTTGTACTGCAGATGCACAAACCACGAACCCAACTTCCATAGTTGAAAGGGCTGTGCAAGTTTATTTCTTTTAGGTATCGAAAAATTCTCTTTATAACTTTCCAATGATCTCTTCCAGGATTGGACTGATACGTGCTAATAAGACCTATCGTAGAACAAATGTCTAGACGAGTATACATCATAGCGCACATCAAGCTCCCGATAGCACTTGAACATGAAACTCGAGACATGTTTTTTCATTTTCATTCTTTGGACATATTTCAAGGCTTACAGTTTCACCTATCACTATAGAAGTATCCATAGATTTTCAAGTGTTCATTCGGAAGCATTCCAAAATTTCTTCAAATAAGTTTCTTGAGATAGAATTAATAAATTCTTGGAACGGTCTCTTTGGATCTTAACTCCAAGGATGTAGTTTGTATTACCCACATCTTTCATGGCAAATGACGTTGAAAGCCATGACTCGATAGTTTTCACATACTCCAAATTATTTTCGGCCAATAAAATATCGTTCACAAAAAGTTAAAGAATTACAAACATTCCATTAGACTTCTTTACATAGATGAAATGGTCTTCATTGATCATGGTGAAATCATATGAGATCACCTCTTTGTGAAATCTCAAATACCACTGCCTTGAAGACTGCTTCAGGCCATAAATAGATATTTTTAATTTACAAATCTTATTTTCTTTGCCTTCAACGATGAAACCTACATGTTGTTCCATATAGATCTCTTTGTTTAGTTCTCCATTGAGAAAAGTTGTATTCACATCTATTTGGTATAATTCCAGATCTAAGCGAGCAACAATATCCAAAAGTAAGAGAATTGAGGTAAACTTCACAACTTGTGAGAATGGTTCCTCATAATCTATTCCAGCTTCTTGCATAAAGTCTTTTGCCACTAATCGTGCCTTATAATTTTTATTGACTCGTCGCCATCATTTTCACCATCTCCACCTTCACTTTCTAGACAGAACTTAGGAAAAAATATAAACAATTGGAGTAAAATATTCTTTTAATATTGTTCACGAGATTATTTTTTTGGAAGCTTTTTTCAAAAGGAAGAAGAATGTTTTGGTGATAAAGCGGAGATTACAAGGAAAAATGCATTTAAAGTGAAACCAAGAACAAATGATAGTTCATTTATTCGGCTACAGAATTGGTCAAATTAAGCTTTTCCTTTTTTTTCTTCACATGGTGTTAGTACATATTTTGGGACTGGACTAATCGGGATTAATATCGGGAGTCAAACAAGTATTTACAAAATAGTGGAGGGAGCCTAATTGAAATATTTATATTTAATAGTTTTGAAAATTATTATAGTGATTAAAAATTTTATGAAGCGAATATTAAAAAAGATATTTTGCTACAATTTTTACATTTTCCCCTAAACTCGGTCTAGAGAGTGAAGGTGGAACTGGTGAAAATGGTGGTGGTCATGGATGGTGTTAATGGTGGCACTAGTAGTGAAGGGATATGAGGTGCTAATGGTGGACGAAAAAGTAAAGGTGAGGAAAAGATGGGTTGGGGGCCGTGAGATGGCATGCCACGTGGCCAATAGATGGCGCCTTGTATCACTAAGAGAGAAAGTAACCAGGGGATAGGATACCTTGTATTAAAATGGAACCCCACTAAAGATTGTTGTACCTTATGTCGGAAAATACAGCTAGGGATTGGTGTACCCTATACTAAACATGCGGCTAGGGAGTGGTGTGCCCTATTTCAAAATGGAACCTCAACTAAGGACTGATGTAACTTATGCTGGAAAATGCAGTGGTTGATTATGTGATTATAGGCATATCTAGAAAGAAAAAGCAGAGAGTTTGAAGAACTTACCTTTAGTGACATTCGTCCTTTGAGAACTTCAATTCTACACTGCTTTGTTTCCTGCTTCAAACAAAGAAAGATTTGTGAGTTTAACAATGGTGGTCGGTTTGTGGCCTTGAATGCCCTGAGCAGTTTGAATATGCGGCCACCTCGTTGTTAGAGAACTGATTTGCAAGTAATGGTACCAAACGGCTAGGAGGCTCTGTACCGTGTTCTAGAAACTTTAGCTTTCTATTGTCGCCTCCGGCTGTTTCATAACCGGATGTCTAAGGTGTTGCTGAACCTTGTCTATAAAGCAAGTCTTCACTTTGGTAGTTTTTCCTTTAAAAATCAAGCTTGATTATGTTGCACCCGATATTTGTTTGTGTCTGGGGTGCTATCAACTTTGCCCATGAAGCAAGTCTTGCTTAGCGACCTTTTTGATGTCTTCAAAACACTTTATTCGGTTTATCAGAGGATCACAATTGGATTCGTGCCTTTGTCAATACCGCGTATGCCCCCACATATTTTATTTTGCACTTCTAGGAAAGTATCGATTTTGTGGCCCTTTCTTTATTGGCTTCTAAACAAATAGACCAGCAAACTTTTGGAACTTCCGTTGGAATGAACCCTCAGATCTAGTTTAGCTTCAACAACCTTATTGTGCATGTTGCTTCCTGGGTATGTCCTCTTCAATGTGCCAGAATAGAACTCGCTTTGTATAATTGGAAAGTTGGTAACAAATGTTGAAATCATTTCTCGGTTGTTTTAAAGAAGACTGACTCAAAATAAAAATGCAAATGGACAAAATGACACAATGTAAAAGTGAGAAGGAATAGTATTTAACTGAAAATTCCACTTTACAGGGAGAGAAAGAAAAAAGGGACTCCTTTGAATATGGTAGCCAACTTTAATGATCATGACATGCATCTTGGACTGAGCGGCCGAATCTATCCAACCAATCTACCCTTTCTTCTTGTTGTTCCTTTTCGTCTTTGAAGTTGGCCTCTTTGTGCCAATTATTTGCATCAAATCACAGCTCACCTTCGACCAGTGGTGCCCTAAAAGGTTTTCACCAACCGACCTCTCTCATTAATTTATCTCTACTTACCATCGCCTTATAGTTCCCATGAGGGTTTTTACCAATAAGACTCTCTCATTTCCATTCATTATCTCTTCTTTGTTTTTGCCTTTTTGTGCGAGCAACTTGACATTATTCTACGTTGTGTGACAACTGTTGCTTACAGCGTGTTTCCCTTGGCATTCTTAAGACTATTTGGAAGGTCTTTATTTGGAAGGCTTTTGGAGAGAGTTAGAAAGAAAGGGTCACATTAAGGCTCAAAATAGACTCAAGATGATAGGGTTGTATATTTACAACTCTTGGAATCGACTCTTCATAAAAACATTAAAAAAAATCTGCCCCAGTCTCAGATACTGGGGAATTTTTATTTTTGATTTGGTTAGACTGAACCCTAGTGTAGAGCTGCCTACGTATCCTTTAAAAGAATCAAGTCAAACATAGTTCAAACAAACATGAAAGATTTCTTTGTTGTTTTTCTATTCATTTTTCATTTTTCTTTTCTCTTTCCTTTTCTTCTCTTCATTTTTTTTTATATATAATCAGATTGTCCTAGATCCTATCTTTATGGTGGTATGGATCTTCGATTCTTTGTTTGTTTTTTTTTACTATACACTTGATTCCAAAAGAGGGGGGTCGAAGAAAAATAAAACCAGCTCAAAAGGGGTAACGAAGGGTATAATGTGTTTGGGTAGCAGAAAAAAGGGCCTCCCAACCTCAAGAATGCCAAACATTTTATGTCTTCTCAGGTTCGACATTGATGGACATGACTGTCTTCTTGGTTTTATTAGTTGTATAGTTCGTAGCCAATATCTTGTTCGCAACAAATGACTTTTGACAATTTGGAGTCACCTTTTCTTGGTCCTTGTCCTGATGTAAAAGGGTGCACTTCAGTACCAGCTAATCATCTTAAATTCCCTGGAATGCACCTTCTTTGGGGATTTGGGTCATCTTCCGTGATATGATCAGATATGCAGGCCATGGCAAAAAGGCTTTCATCGATCAACAAAACTTTCAATTATCCTTAAGCCGGTATTCATGATAGGTTTGAGATAAACATCTTTAACCTCTACGGATATGACTATTTTGGTTCCATGTGACACACTTATCATCAAAGTTCTTCAACCTCTTATTTATCCTCCAAGTGTTTTTCCTCAATTCAATTCAAGATTGGACAAGCTTTCTAAAGTCTAGCCGAAAACTCTGCAAGCATGTCGTGTCACTAAAATTGGCTTGAAAAGAAATATATATGCAAGAAGAACTAAACACAATGGATTAAAATGACACAAAGAAGAGAAAAAAAAAGTTGCATTTCATTGATTAAAGGATAGAGAGATTTGATGGCAGGACAAACAAACAACATCTGGATCACAACCTCGAAATAATCCGGATGATATAAGTTACCAAGACTCCTTCCCGACAAGGAAGGGAGCGACTTTCCAATTACTAAGCTCGACATCTTAGCTATGCATTTGTACATCAGCGTTAAACAAAACCTTTAATAATTTTGATTTCCTTGCATTCAGTGGACGGGTTCTTGACCTTTTCGTCAAACTGCCCCCATATTCTTTAACATTGTAAATCATCCAAGCATTGCGTGTTTTATCATGACGTTTAGGGTGCCATTATCTTGAATCACGATCATCCCTTCTTGAATCATCATTTCTATTTCCTTTTTCAACGCCCTACAATCCTCAGTGCTATGCCCCTGGACATTAGAATGGTATAGGCACTGTACAACAGGTTTAAAACCTTTTGCAACTGGATTGGGAATATACCCTTGAAGCGGCTCAATCATGCCACAATGTTTCAACCTTTCAAACAGACTTGTGTAGGATTCTACGATTGGCGTGAAATTGTCCCTCCGCTTTTGTTCCCTTTCATACTCTTGTTTTGGACAAGCGTTGTAGAGTGATTGAGAGTTCTGATGTCGCGAATGAAGGTATGTTAAAGTTAGGGCCCGCATATGTTGGCACTTGGATGGTTTGGCATAAGACCGAGTTGCATACTGTGGGGCAACTGAGTATCGTGGATCCGAGGGTTGAGATGCTCCTTTTTGGCCTCTTTTTGCCCGTGATGCCATCATGGCCTCCTCATCGTTCTTCTTTTGGTTAACACAGCTATTCAGCATATTCTGGATTTCTTTGGTGGCTGCTTTGAGAGCCGCTTGACTTATGATTCGGCCAGTACTGAGGCCGTTCTCGATCGTTTCTCCTATCTTGATTACATCAGCAAAAGGTCTGCCCATTGCAGCCATCATATTTTGAAAATAATCAGGATCCTGAGCCTGAAGGAAGACAATGATTAACTCATGGTCATCCGTGGGTGGTTTAACTCTAGATGCTTGCTCTCTCCACCTAACGGCATACTCCCTGAAGCTTCCAGTTGGCTTTTTCTTCATATTGGACAGGGAATTGCGATCTGGCACAATATCAATGTTGTACTGAAATTTTTTGACGAAAGTTTGGGCCATGTCGTCCCAAACATGCCAGTGAGAGATATCTTGGTCAATGAACCATTCAGAGGCTACCCCTACCAAACTCTCCCCAAAATAAGCCATCAGCAACTCTTCTTTTCCTCCTGCACCCCTCAGCTGGTTGCAGTACCTTTTCAAGTGGACGATAGGGTCGCCGTGTCCATTATATTTTTGAAATTTTGGAGTCTTAAACCCTGGGGGTAAATGGATGTGAGGAAACATGCACAGATCACTGAATGAGACATTTTTGTGACCACCTAGTCCTTGTATGTTCTTTATGTTCTGCTCAAGACTTTTCATTTTCCTGACCATCTCGTCTGGCTCTCCTGTCTTTACAGCCCTTTCATTTTCTGCAGGTAACACATACTGCGGGGTCTGATTGTGTGGAGCCGAACCCTTAAAAGCCATATCTGGAGAGTAGTATTGGACATCATAAGCATAAGATAGTGGCTTGATGTTTGGCCTCGTCACAATATTTAGTGGGGAGATTATATACACAGGCGGACCAAACACAACGAGAGGTGTGTTCCTAACCGATGTGGCAGGAGGCTGCGCATTAGAGATACCAGGGCCGGTATGGAAGCTGTAGTTTGGCACATACCCTGGTGGTAGAATGTGATCGCTCGTTGCAGGAACGAGAGGTGTGTTCCTAACCGATGTGGCAGGAGGCTGCGCATTAGAGATACCAGGGCCGGTATGGAAGCTGTAGTTTGGCACATACCCTGGTGGTAGAATGTGATCGCTCGTTGCAGGGAGAAGTGGTTGAGTAGCCTGGGGTAAGGTGGAAGTTCTCTCAGAGGGACCTTGAGGCGGAGGCTGACCAGAGACCCAAGCATGATACATATCAATCGGTTGATGTTTCAATCTTCTTACTTCCTCCGACTCTTGCTCAACCGATTGACCCAGAGGGTCGTCACTGACCAACTCAATTTCATCATTATTAGCCATCGCTACCTTCCCCTTAGACCTGGTCAAATAATGAGGTGTTGCCAGTTTCACCACAAACCAACCACCTTAAGCTTACTATATAAGAGGCAACAAACGTGTTAGGGTTAAGCATTTTATAAATACGAATCACACGTAACTATGCTATGCTCCTAACATTATCACGTCTCTAACATGCTTTTGGAAGGCTTCATGTTTCATTCCGGCTTATAAGGTTGCTGCTTATTGACACACTTATTTATTCCTCTCTTCATTTTTTTTTTCTTTTTTCTTGTTTTTTTACACCTTGCCTTATTTTAGAGCCGTTGAAAAATATTTCGATTGAACCTTTTGGGGGTTGCCTACGTATCATGTCGCCGCATGAATCAGATCATTACGTAGTTCAAGGACATGACCCTTTTTTTAAAAAAAAATTAACAAAACAAAGTTTTCCTCTTTTGTATGTACATTTTTTTTGGTTCATTTTCGAATTTTTCTTAAACAAAATCTTTTTCATTCATTTTCGTTTTTTTTTATACAAGACAAAGAAAATTACATAAAGATACAACCCAAAAGATGAATATTTAAACAAGACCGGACTCGACTCAAATAAGAAGAATATTTAAGCAAGACTCAAAACACTAAAAGACTCTTACAAACTTGATGAATACAAATGAACAATCAAAGTGGACTGCCAACCAAAAGAAGACTCTGATCTCCGAAGGAGAATCCACCGGCATCATTGTAGTTAAGGTGCTCATTCCTGCGGCTGACCTCCCATATTATGGTATATGCACCTTAAGTCTGTGGCAATGTGGCGTGCGAAGTTGGGCGCTACCGTAGCAAATTGCTCTCGGGTCAAACCCTAACAAGTCACACACCCCCGAGCGGTATAAGTAGCCACCTCATAGACCCTTCTTCTAACATGCTCCTGGCTCTGACTTAAAAACTGGATCTGTCGCTCATGGTTATTGGCTATGGCTGATATATCTGCCTCGCGTTGTGATGCCAGATTCAGCTGGTTCTGGACCCTTGCTAGCTCATTCTCTAGCTGGTTCTTACTTGATTCTGCAGCCCTGGTCCGAGCCCTTAGATCATGGAAGAGAAGGTTGTAATGCATTTCTTCGTGCCTTGGAATGGCCACTTATTGCTGAGTAGCGGCTTCTATTCTCGCTTGTCGAAGCTGTGCTTGAAGCGCTTGAACCTCATGTATTAAACTGGTTTTCTCCTCTTTAAACTCAGTATACTGCAAATCCCTATTCACGTTGACGATACTTATATCCCTACGTAGTTCGCGGATGATGGATTCATAGTCTTTTGCTATTTCTTCCTTGGCCTACCCCACTCTTGTTCTAATTTTAGTCTCCCATTCTGTCTTGCTCTTCAGAATTGTCTCTTGCCTAGATCCAAAAGCATCTTGGTCATAGAACCACTCAAAATATGCGGGGTCTAACTCTCCTTGATCTTGATCTTCTATCATAGTGTGAAATTTAAGCACCTTAATTTCATCCCAAACCTGCTTAGCATAAGCCTCACGAACAGGATCCTCCGATGTTACCTCCCACATGAATCTTTGCATGTGCTCCACTGTGGGCACGACTTGTTTTCGACCTAATTGGCGTAGGGCTCTCATAGGCACATACGGCTGAAAACCCCGAAGACCCATCAAAATCAAAAACGAATGGTGGTAAGACCTGTATATGACTTCTTTTGGTGAGAATGAGTGGTATTTCCATGTGATTCCAGTAGCAGTTAACTTTTGAAGATACCCTCTCCATGCTTCGACGCCCTTGGGGAAGCTACTATCTTCGGTCAAAACTTTAGACCTATCTTCAAGCTCATTGTTGCACCAATGGACGCTAAAATTTACCCGTACGGGGTGAAGGAGAAGGTGCTCTAAAAACCATATCTGAGTATGATGTTACAGCCCTCAAAGAAATCTTTCCCTTCCTGACATTTGGTTAGGGCACAGTAAATATCTGACAATACCATAGGAATGATAGTGATATCCTTTCCACGCAATAAAGCGGTAACTATGCCAGATAATCGAATATCAATATTTTGTCATGCCTCGGGAAAACCATCGTCCCTAGAAATGCCACTAGGAATGCTCTCTGCCCATGGCTTTGCCAAGCTTTGTATCCAATTTTATTATCAAGCTCTTTCCCGTGCTTTGAAAATCCACCCGGACACCCATACCTGTCGTACAAGAAATCTAATCGAACGTGCCCTCGTTCCACACTTGCTATTTTATTTTGGCTGATTATCATCTGCTCAAGGAACTTACTGCCAGTGACATCCCTCGGGGCCAAGGGTCTCTTTTTCCAAAGCTCATCACCTAACTTTGTGTATCCAACTAACTCCTCCAAAGTGGGAGTCATTTCGAAACCATTAAAACAGAATACGTTGTTATTAGGATCCCAGAAATGCACCAACACCTCGATTAAGTCCCTCCTTGGGTTGATCTCCATAATATTCACAAAGTTACCCAGATGGTCCTTTATCTTTTCCTGCTCACAAACGCCCATATTTTTCCACCATTGCCTTAGCAACCAGGGTGTTTTATGCACAAGCCAAATCTGCAAGGGTTCATCATCTTTTAGATTTTTATCGGGTCTTCCACTTGCTGAATTCATATCTTACCTGGATAAATAAAAATGTGAGGTCAAGTCCTAATATAAACTCGAAGAAATGACACCAAGCAGACTTTTGGATAAGAGAATGAACGAACTTCTTAGTGGAGAATTCCTCGTATTGAAGGATCAGTCAACTAAGACCCAACTGATCAGACTTGATTGATATGCCAAATTTGGACGAAAAGGACCAGACTCTAGGATGACTAACCACGTATCTCACCGAGGAAACAAGACATGATAAAAACCGGCCGACCGAGGACAAAACGATAAAAGGTGACAAGAGGGACAAGATGGTTATTCTTATGAAAATGGTTCTTCAGTACTTCGAAGGAAAGTACTATGGCTGTCTCGGTAAAAACATCCGTACACATGGATAAACGGGTAAAAGCAGACAAAAAATTCATTCTTTTTACGAAAACAACCATTATGGTACTTCCAAAAAAAGTTTTAAGGTTGACTCGGCTAAGATGGCCGGAAATAAGGGCAACACGGCAAAAATGTAAACAAAATGAATATTTTGCGAAAATAGCTCCTCGACGCTTCCAAGGAAGGCTGTCCTGGCAAAACAGCCGGAATACGAGGGCAAAACAGTAAAAGGTGACCAAAAATAGCAATTTTTTATTATTATTTTTTTTTTCAAAATTTTATGCACATGCGTAATTTTTATGCCTTTTTTTTAAAAATATGGGCTAAACCCGATGGAGGTTGCCTACGTATCTCACTGGGTAGTGAGAATCAAGCCCGCGTAGTTCGATGAAACCGACTATTTATTTTCTGATTTTTATGAAAATTAATCTTTACACCTCACTTCAGACTACTTCAAAATTTTAGTAAAAAAGGATTATTTATACTAAACTAGGAGAATGTTTTTTTTTTTTTTAATTCCGCTCAACTAATTTTCTAAATCCAGTCAACAATGCAAGCAAGCCTTCCAAATGATGTAGCAAATAGCACATAAGTGAGCATGATGGTCTCAAAGAGGATACCTGTCCTATACGGACCCGGCCCCCGTGCCAAGCTTCGCTAAGTCAAATATACGTGATGCAAATAAAGCGAACCTACTAGGGATATCCGGCATGAGGTTTGTTTTTCTAGGTTTAAATCCTAGTGGAGAATGTATCTAGACTGGCTTACTCGAGCAGACAACTCGAGTCGAGGAGGTTCAGCGTACCGGTAGCATTGCTTTCCGGCTTAGCTGGTGGTGCTCCCCGCCTAAAACATGTGTGACTAAAATCCTTCACCGGGTGACAAGCACCTCGGCTATCTCAAAGAAAGCGGGCTATGTCAAGCAAATGCCCAATTTTTAATTTCAAGAAGACTCAGAGGGGGTGCGTGAGAAGACAGTTTATATGTACAGTTCAACAATATCAAAACGGTAAAAAGCAAACAAGTAGCACATTATGTCCAAATAAATCATAGTATATATAAAATTAATAAAGCCAAATAAAAGTCAACATGTACAAGCTCGAATTCTGGTTGACCCCAGCAGAGTCGCCAGAGCTGTCACACCCCTTTTCCTACCCCCAAATCAGATATCGTGTTATAAATTGTTGTGGGTTAATAAGTTTTTCCAATTAAAGTGATAATTTTGAAATAGAGATTATTTTATTGCTCAGAGACGCCACTTGGAATTAATTTTGGGGTGTCCCAAGTCACCTTTTATTTGAATCCCTATTCAAAGGAAAATTTGACTCTATTATTATTGGTCTGTGAAAATAAAATTCGGATAAGGAATTCTGTTGACCGGGGAGAAGGTGTAAGGCATTCCCCGAGTCCCGTGGTTCTAGCACGGTCGCTTTTATTGACTAAAATTGGCTTGAGTTAATTTTGGACAAATAGTAATTTATAAGATTTTTATGTTTTACCTATCCGCTTTTATTTCTTGATTATTAGATTTATCAAAAAAAAATAATTTTGGATAAATTATGTTGTCACAAGCACGCTGCGCAAGCTAATGCATGATCGAAACGAAATTTATTAATTTTATTATAACAGCGCTACGCAAGCGAATCCGCAGTTATGACAAAAATTTTAGTATATTATTACTTTTGAAAGAGTTACTACATTTAAAGAAATTAATTAAATATTAGCTATCGCGCTACGCAAACGAATCCGCGATTTTAGCGAAAGGATTAATTAAAGCTAGTAGAAATATTATGGTATTATCGAATTAAAGTATTAAGAGTTAATATCACGCTACGCGAGCGAGTCCGTGAAACGCACCTACTAGTTGCCTTGCGTTTAAATTAATTATTAAGGTGATTAAATTACACAGGTAATTAAGTTACATAATTATTAAAAAGAAAATATGATGAATTGAAAAACTATTTGAAAAGCTTGTAATTAGAAACTTGGAGCAGCTTTGTTTGTTGGATTTAAAATGGCCGATTCTATTATTTTTGGCATTAAGCTACCTTACTATTAAAGACAAATGGCCCTGCTAGCATGCTTAACCTCATAATGGGCATGGCTGAATTTGAGTTCACTTTGGCCCATACATATTAAAGCCTATCCACAACTACAAACCAACTAATAACCTACTAGTGTATCCTATTTTTTTCTTTTAATTTAATAATAATTGCAATAGTAAACTAATTGAAAACTTTTAGCTGAATAACCAATACCAACTCAATACACTACAGGCCTTAACCAGACGAAAATTAAACTGAAAAAAAAACTCCACTATTATTGAGCACTAGAGCTTTAAGCTTAAAGTGCACTTATCTTAAAAAATCTATCTACAAGTTAACAACATAAAAATTTCAGCAAGATATAGAAGCCTTCTCAACTGATTTTAATCAATAACCTAAAGTAGAAGTGATAAGGATGCAAGCTTTGAATACTAACACTAAATTACCGGTTCCTACTTAGGCATAAACAGAATCTTAATATAGTAAGTATTCAAGCAATATAAACAACAACCCAAACATCATTTAAACATGTCATACACAAACACAATATACTAAAAGGACTTGAATCACTTCATTTCCATTCAATCTTGATCCAAAAAGTAGTACAACAGTTGAGAAAATACCTGATCAACAGAAAGAAAATATTAACAAGGGAGGGACTGAATTTCAGCAACAAACAGCAACGCAACAGCAGCGAAATATCAGTAAATCCGTGTTAAAACAGCCCGAAAACTTAGAGAAGAAACCCAGAAACAAACTCTAAAGAAGACTTATACTTTTCTAAAAGTTTGCACTCTAAGATTCACTCCTAAAGCTCACCATTTCAGCTTACTTTCTTTAAGTCAGTTGCTGATTTTTACTCCTAAAATTGTTTCTTTTAGTATGTCAAAATGTCTAGCAGATGTGTGATCTCCCCCTGTAAAGTGAGGAAGGGGCAGCCCTTAAGTAGGCAAAGAAAATTACTTTTTGGGCAGATTTTGGTTCACCAAAAGTCTGTCCAAAAGGACTAACTTTTGTGTGCTAAACACTGTTCAAAGGCTGTCCAAAAGGTGAAAGGATAGCGTGAAAATCTGCTATAGCAGAAACAAGGAGAAAAAAATATCATTTCAGCCACCCTATTAGTAAAAAGTAAGCTACTAGCACCCTATTTCATCATTTACTTTTTAACCTTCACAAACTAATATCAAACTAACTAACCAAGAGAATAGCTTAAACGAACTAACAGCTAAATGAAGTAATTCCACCAAAAAGCTGAAAGTTATCAAATAGCATGCTGAAATAAACTCGAATTAAAAGTAACGACAACTAGAAGCTAAAAGGTACGAACTTGAATCCTAAAACTAAATTGAAAGCTAAGCAAACTACGTGTTAACAATGAAATAAACTAGTGAAATTAATTATTCTGTACGACGACAAAATCAAAAGCTAGATTAAATGCAAAGTAAATGATCACAAACAGAATTAAAACTAAAAAAAAACTACAAATCAAACACACACCAAAAAAACACAAAATAAGAGACATGGGTAAGAGGGATTCGAGGTTTTACCACACGAGGGGATTGAATACTAACTCGAGCAATAAGGAGGTATCGGGTAACACCACCAACAGCTGTCCGACCTTGAAACACCCATTTCATTCCGGCAAATGCTGAAACAAAGGGATTCCAGCATTAAGCCGGAAGGAAAAGAGGATTCTTGGGTCGAAAGAAGTAAAGACAGAGAAATAGCGTGTTTGGTGGTGGTTGCCGCGGCTGGCGAGTTGCCGGGAAATTTATCTCCGGAGTTTCGGGGTAAAATTGACATCAATAGATAGGTCTTGAGGAGCTCTATTCGTTGATATAGGTGTTGTAGGGTGGTGGTGGCCGGAGCTTCACGGATTTGGGCAAAAAGGTGGCGGCTAGGGTTTCCTAGATCTAAAATTCGTGGGTTTTGAGGGATTTTTAGGGAATTTAGCTTGGATATTCGGAAAGAGGGGGTTAAGGAGAACATAGGGTGAAAAAATGGGGCCGATTGGACCACTACCGGCGGCGGCGCACGGTGGTGGCAGTGGTGGAGCGGCGGCGGCTTTGAGAGAGGGTGAGAGAGAGAAGAGAGAAGGGGGCAATTTTAGGGTTTGAAAAATAGGGCAAAAATCTGATTTTTTAGCTTTTATATTTTAGTTAGGGATAAATTTTGACCATTAGATTAAGGTGGAATGAATGGCCATGATGGATTTTCATTTACTTAACCAAAACGACGTAGTTTTGTCTTGAAACTACGTCGTTTTAAATCGTCCCATGCCAGCCCCTAGTCTTGCACTCTTGGCCACTTTCTCTTTCAAATTTGGCCCAATTTCTTCCTTAATACTACTTATTAAACTAAATTTACACAAACAAACAAATTAATTAAATAACTTATTGAAATGATCAATTAACTAGATTAATTCACCAATTGAACAGTTAGTTAATTCCTAAAATGCACACACAAAAAAAGAACTATTTTTTGGTATTTTATGATAGGAATTATGCAATTAAAAACACAAAAATTGAGAAAAATAATTAAAATAACAAAACACTAATGACTTTAAGAGGTGTTAATATAATGCAAAAATTAGGTGTTCACGGCTGTTAGTTCGAGCAACGTCGAACATAACCTAAGTTTAATCATGGCCGAGGGCCAGTAGGTGTTGGTTCGAACAAGGTCGGAGATAACCTAAGTTTAATTATAGCCGAAGGCCGATAGGTGTTAATGCAAATGAGGTCGATCATAACTATGTTTAATTACGACCGAGGGCCGATAGGTGTTAATTTGAACAAGGTCAAACATAACCTGTGTTTAATTATGGCCGAGGGCCAGTTAGGTGTTGGTTCGAACGAGGTCGAATCATAACCTCAGTTTAATTATGGCCGAGGGTCGATAGGTGTTAATTCGAACAAGTTCTAATAAAACCTATATTTATTTATGGCCGAGGGTCGATAGGTGTTAATTCGAACGAGGTCAAACATAACCTATGTTTAATTATGGTTGAGGACCACTTAGGTGTTAATTCGAACGAGGTCGAACGTAACGTATGTTTGGAAAGATATGCCTCTAGGTGTGGCATTTGTCGACGTCGTGAACTTTAAGCATTGTTGGCTTGGTTGCACATTTGGAGAAATAGAAATAATCATCATGAATTATTTCTTTGTTTATACACTTGGAGAAATTTACATATTTTATCGAGCGTTGGCTGGCGTTCCAGTCCCAGTCTATCTAGTCCCTTCATTGGTCGACCTGGAGAAGGCTTGAGAGGTCGAGTATTGAACTAGTCGTCCTGTGCCTCCGTCTTTGCGTAATTCAACTTGAAGTGTTTCCTTCGTCACCTCGTTAAAAACCTCCTTGAGAAAACCCAATTGGGACAAAACTCAAGTGAGAGAAAAAATAGTGCGACTTGGGGGACGCTTTATCTCTTAAAAGTTGAAGTACTTGAGGTAGGTAATATTCCAGTTGTTTGGTAGTAGCTTTTCTTCAATTGTTTCTAGTTGGAATGATCCTTTGTTTATTTTTGCTGAGATTTTGTATGGCCCGTCCTAATTTGTTCCCAATTTGCCTTCCTGTAGGTCTTTGCTTGCTTGTATTTTAACTTTAAGCATGTAGTCCCCGACTTTGAGCGGCATGACCTTTGCCTTTTTGTTATAATAGCGTTCTGCTTGTTTTTTTTGGGCGATCATCCTTACGTAAGCCATGTCTCTTCGTTCTTCGACTTCGTCAAGCTCCTGCCTTCTGCTTTCATCATTCCTTAGTCCGCTCTCGTGGGAGTATCTTAGGCTGGGCTTCCCGACTTCGACCGGTATTACTGCATTAGTCCCATAGACTAACGAGTAGGGTGTTTCTCCTGTGCTTGTCTTCGGCGTTGTTCGGTAGGCCCAGAGTACTTATGGTAATATTTCTGGCCACAGCCCTTTGGTTTCTTCAAGTTTTTTCTTCATGATGTTCAGTATCGACTTCTTGGAGGACTCCGCTTGTCCGTTGCCCATGGGGTGGTATGGCGTTGAGCGTATTCTTTTGATATGCCACTTCTCAAAAAATTCAGCGACCTTCTTTCCCGTAAATTGAGGTCCGTTATCGCAGTTGATCTCTTTGGGGAGGCCGAACCGACATATGATGTTTTTCCATATGAAGGCGATTACTTCCTGCTCGCGTATCTGGGTGAATGCTCCTACTTCTACCCACTTAGAGAAATAGTTAGTTAAAACCAAAAGGAATTGTATGTTACCTCGCCCTGTCGGGAGAGGGCCCACGATGTCCATCCCGCATTTGATGAACGGCCAAGGGGAGGTGATTGAGTGGAGGTGTTCGCCTGCTTGGTGAATCATTGAGGCATACTTTTGGCATTGCTCGTATTTTTTCACGAAGTTCGTGGCCTCTTTTTTCATGGTGGGTCAGTAATACCCTGCCCGTATGAGGCATCTAACCAAAGACCGATTGTCGGAATGAGATCCACAATGGCCTTCGTGACCTCTTCAAGGACACGTCGCATCTGATTTGGGCCTAAGCATTTTGCCAGGGGCTGCCGTACGTTCTCTTGTACAGGTCGTTGTGGATGATGATGTACCCGGCTGCTTGCTTTCTTAGTTTCTTTACCTTATTTTTTGTCACTTGGGAGTACGTCGTCCTGCACGTATGTAACAATACGATTGCGCTAGTCCCAAGTTATGGTTCTCACCTCGATTTGGTCTATCGACAAGTTGAAAAAGTGGACTGCACTTCTGTCTTCGGTTGCAATATTTTGGTGGCTGCTGCTAGTTAGGCAAGATCGTTCGCCTCAGAATTTTGTGCTCGTGGGATCTAGTCGAGGTGACATTCGTCGAATCTGGGCAGCAACTTACAAATTTTGGTCTGGTATTTTTGTAACCTTTGTTCCTTGATTTGGAAAGTCCCTGTGACTTGGTTGACAACGAGTTGAGAATCGCAGCGTAGTCTTAACCGTTTTGCCCCGTATTTGAGTGCTAGCCTTAACCCTGCAATTACGGCCTCATACTCGACCTCATTGTTAGTCATGTCCGGGCACTTGATGGACTAGTAAATCACTTCGCCGCTTGGGACTTTGAGTACGAGTCCCAGTTTGGACCCTGCCGCGTTAGACACATTATCAGTGTATAGGACCCAGAGGTCCTGTGTTTGGGGAGAAGCGTGTGCGGCTTCTCTTTCAACTTCGGTCATTATTTTTGCGCTGAAGTCGGCATGAACTTGTGACTATCATTGTTCCTGGCTGATATGCAATATCGTGCTTGCTTAGTTCGATGGCCCATTTGGCTAACCTACCCGATAGCTCGGGTTAATGAAAAATGCTTCATAGGGGGGAAGTCGTGACGACTGAGATGGGGTGGCACTGGAAATACGGTCTAAAATGAAGCTGCGACTAAGGACAGGGCCAGTTTTTTCGAGGTGAGGGTATCTCATCTCAGTGTCGGACCAGAACTGCACTCACATCTACTTTGGATACAGTGAGGTAGACGACGAAACATTCCCCTGGCTCTTGTTTTGAAAGCAGGGGTGGTGACGACAAATACACTTTTAACTCCTTCAGGGCTTGGACGCATTCAGAAATTCATTGGAGGTCGTTATCCTTCTTGAGTACGCCGAATAATCTGTGGCACCTTTCTGATGATCGCGAAATGAACCTTGAAAGGGTGGCGATACAACTAGTCAACCTCTGAACCTGTTTTTTGGTGGTCAAGTGTTCTAGTATCCCTTCGATGGCTTTGATTTGATAAGGATTGACCTCGATTCCTCATTGTGATACCAGGAAGCCTAAAAAATTTCTTGAGGCCACGCCGAATGCACACTTTTCGGGGTTCAGTTTCATTCTGTATCGTCTGAGTATGTCGAAGGTTTCTCTTAGGTGGTCGATGTGATCTTCTTTCCTTTTGGATTTGACTAGCATGTCATCTATGTAGACTTCCATCGTTTTGCCGAGCTAGTGTTTGAACATCCTCATCACCAACCTTTGGTAAGTTGCCCCTGCATTTTTAGCCCGAAGGGCATGACCCTATAGCAGTACGTCCCCTGATGATTGATGGAAGTGGTTTTCTCCTGATCCTCTTCTTCCATGAGTATTTGATTATAGCCTAAACATGCGTCCAAGAAGCTCAGTCATTCATGTCCGCCCGTTGCATCGATGAGTTGGTCAATATGGGGTAATGGAAATGAATCCGTGGGGCATGCTTTGTTCAAATCTGTGAAATCTATGCACATCCGCCATTTCCCATTCTTTTTTTTCACCATGACCACACTGGCGACCCACTGGGGGTATTTTGACTCCCTAACGGAGCCATTTTCCAATAGCTTTTCCACCTCTTCGCACATCGCGTCATTGATCACTGAGTCGAACTTACGCCTGACCTGCTTCACTGAGGGGTGGAATGGGTCGATGTTCAGCTTGTACATGGCGATTTCCTTCGGGATACCCGGCATATCTGCATGGCTGAAAGCAAACAAGTCCGCGTTAATAGTTAAGAATTGACGGAATTTACCTGGTTCCTGAAGTTTGCAGCCGATGTAAGCTTTGTTGCTGTGGTTGTTAGTGTCTAATTGAACGGGGTCGAGGTCTTCTATGGTCGATCCCGCAACTTCGACCTCGACCTTGTTGATTGCTATGCCTCTTTTTCTTTGTCCTTCGTTTGTTGAGTGACCGTGCAGTCTTGGGCGATACGGTAGCACTTCCGGGATGTGCATTGTTCCTCTCGTATACTGAATATTCCCCATGGAGTTGGGAGTTTGATGACTTGGTATAAGATGGAAGGGATGGCTCCCATGGTGTGTAATCCATGGTCGCCTATTATGGCGTTGTATGCTGTGTCTTGGTCCATAATGTGGAACGTGGTTTCCAGAGTGACGCCACTGGCCAGGACGGGGAGTGTGATTCACCTGATGTTCGGTCAACTGCATTGTTAAAACCAATTAGTGTGATGCAACGCGGCACTATCTTATCCTCGAGTTTAATTTGTGCAAGTACTCGAGGGTGGATAATGTATGCGCCGCTCCCATCGTCTACCATAATGTGTCTCACATCGGTATCTAAAATTTGTGAAGTGATAACAAGGGCATCATAGTTAGGGAAAACCAAACCATTGGTATCTGACTTATCGAAGATGATACTT